GATGCCCAGGAGTGGGAGGTTGTTCTTTTTTTTTTTCTTTTTTTTTTTTTTAATGGAGAACTGGAAGGAAAAAAAAAAAAAAAGGGAAAAGGGAAAGGGAAAAAAGCCAAAAAGTCATGGTCCAGCAAAGCAAATCTGTTTCAATCAGCAAAGGAGCAATCAACTCTTTCATCTAGCAGCTGATTTGAGACAAATGTTTTTCAGCTCTGAGAGCGAAGCTACGGCCGGGTGCGCAGCCTGGGAGGGCTGCAAGGCTGCCCTGGCAAAGGCCGTGCCCCGAGCTGCACTTACACCAGTGAGGGCCAGCGCTGCAAGCAGCTTCCTGCTTCCCACGCAGGGGAGCCAGGGCGGCTGGGTAAGTTGGTCTCAGCCCCAACAGCACCCGTCAGTTCCCAAATTTCACCCAGCTGCTCTTGCACCAAGTCAGCTATTGGCATTTGACTCCAAGATGTTTTTGAAAGCCATCCAGATCTCCCAAACTAGGGCACTGCTGAAAGGAAACACATGGTAATAGAATTGCTTGATTAATGCAGGAAATCCCTAACCGCCTAATTGCTCCAGAGCCTCCCAACAAGGCATGTTGTTCCTCTGTATTCCTGAAATCTGCTACAGGGCACTCTGTGAGGCATGGAGGGCAAGCAGAACTTAGACCCAACCTCGTACTCATAGCCCCTCCAAAACTTGACCAAGGTGGAATTTAGCCCTGTTGAACCAACAGACTGAAAGACAGTCAGGGGCGCCGACTCCTTAACTGCCTGACCTCTCCACCTCTGCTCACAAGAGGGAGAAATCTTCCTGATCCTGTGGCTCATCCTCACTCCTCTCTGTTGGATTGCAGGTGCCAGCACCCATCCCACCTCCCTGTGCACGTCTGGCGCCAAGGCTGCAGGGCCCCAGGTACTGGAGGTGCTTGAGGGGACGAGGCCTCCTGGGGAATCGTCCAACGGCCAAGAAGGTCCCTTGGCCAAGAAAGGACATTGAATGACCAGCTCGAATATTCGGATCTCCATTCAACACAAGAGCCAACTTGTTGGACAAGGACCCTTGTTGGACAAGGGTCCAACACGGTGTCTGCTGGCACGGACATTGAGCCCACCAACCCATCGAGCCCGTATGGGACTTTGCTACGGGCCAGGATGTCACCCCTCCTGGGACCAGCATTTTAGGATGTTTCTGCTCACCCCACAGGACTTGGACTGTTGTTATCCTCTATGGTCAAGGAGCCCTGTGCATCCCGCAGCAGAGCATTCGTGAAGCAATGGAGCACTAGCGGCCAGTGCTGGCCATGGGCCCTCTGTGACCGTCACAGCTGCTCCTCATTTCTGCAGAGAGAAATGCACCGCAAGTGCAGCTACCAATATCTAACAGGTCACAAAGATCTTATTATAAACCAGCTGCAAAGTGAGGTTCACCCTCGAAAAAGCGATAGAGCTCAAGCGCTGCACCGGCTGCAAAAAAGAGCTAATCTGCCCGGACTTTGAACTTCTCCAAGGGTGAAAGAACAGGTATTGTTAAGAAAAAAATTACTACAACAACAACAACAAATAATAATAAAATAAATTAAAAATAAAATGCTCCAGCAGATAAGAACCTTACCTGCTCCCTCTCACCCAGGCTGGCCACCAAGCCTTGAGGGACATCCCAAGGGCAAGCCCTAAGTGAGGAGCGGGATGCAGGTGGGAAGGGGGCGCTGGCCGAACCCTGCGGGTGCATCAACAGGATGAGCAGCTCTGAGATGGGCACAGGCAGCCACTGCTGTCCTCCTGCGGCCCTGGGAACATCTGGGGACACCGGGCAGGCCCGTGCAGCGGGGCCAGGCTGTGTGCTCAGCAGTGCCAGCCTGGATGACACCTGCACTGCGGGAGGACACAGGTCCCCTCCTCCCCCTGGCCGTGTGCTATTAACCTTTGAGCCCCGAAATAAAAGGTCATAAAAATCAGCCAAAGTTCGTTACGCCCCACACCGTGCCATGCGCACGGGAGCGAGCTGGGAGCAGCCACACATCTCTCTGCCCACAGACACACGGACGGGCAGCGCGGGGAAAGCCAAGGACAAGTTCTGTTGGCAGAGGCAAGGAGCAGGATACCACGCCTGGATGAAGCCCTCCTGGCCTACAACAGCCCCACAGGGAGGCCAGGGGAGCAGCTGGCCTTGGGACGGGTTCGTTTACCAGTGTCACCCCTCAGGGACACCTTCCCACATTGGCCACAAAGCCTGGATTTTTTGCATAGTCCATGTGGGCTGCAAGAGCATGAGCTGGGACCTGGAGATGTCTCCAGGGTGACAAGGTCACTGCCGAAAAGCTGTTTCTCCACTTTACCAGGACCCTTGGATATGTCCTCTGTCACTCTCCATTCATCCTCATCCCATCTCTCATGGAGGTCATACTGGGGCACCATCGAGCCCTGACACTGAGCTCAGCAGCCCTGGCCCATTTCTGGACTTGCCCAAGCACGTGTGACCATGACCTCAGTGCAGGGCAGGCCCCGAGGCTGCTGCTGCCCCATCACAAGTTTCTGCTCACTCCCTTCCCACCAAAGCTGAGGCAGAACATGGAAGTCGGGTGACTTCAGGTGCTCAACCCACCAAGGCAATGGCCTACAAGCTCCTGAACAGCAGTGGAAAGGGAAGGCATTTAGCACCGCTGGCTGGAAACCAAGGGCTCCCATACCTGCCTCACTCCCTTTCCAGCTGAAACAACAGGAATTTTACCTCTAAAAGGTTACCCCTTGGAGGTATCAACCCACAACCAACTGCACACAGGCTGAGCAGCACATGGAGCCAGGCAAACCAGAGCCCCTGCAGGATGCAGCCATAGAAGCCCCTGGCTTCTGGGGCAGCAAAGGAGCTTGGCAGAAGTGGGTGCTCATCCAGCTCCCTTGTGAAGGCAGGTGACAACCCAGCACTGCCCCATCCAGCCAGAGAACAACCTCCCACCGCACAAGGACAGGTCACAGCAGCGGCTCAGGGACCAGCAAGCCTGAACGCCCTGTGCTGCACATCCTTCCTAATCCCATCCATGGCACAGTCACTAAGAAGCACAAGAATGCACTTACTGGGGCAAGAAAGGGGAAAAAAAACAAAAACAGGAGTATCAAGGACTCATTTGTTATTATGCCACGGCGCAATGAACCGAGCCCTTGTTTCTTACCGGTATAACAACGCCTTTCAGAAAGCACACGCGCTTTGCCCAGTATGTTCTTTAAAAATGTCAAGAGCAGAGCTGCCAGCGAGCTGGTGAGCAGTTGGAAAAAAAATAACAATAATACAGCTAACATTATTCAGAGGATTTTCACGTTTGATCTGTAAATGCTTTTTTTTATTTAATAAAAATAATCATCCATTATAGCAATTTTTTTTTGTCAGTAAAGCACAGCTTATTTGCTTTCCCCACCTCTTGAGGAATCAGCTCTGGAAACGTAAGTGAATGTAAACATTGCTCTCCAGGTCCCAAAATACACCCAGGAACCCTTGGAGTTAATGACACAGTCCAAAGAGAGAGCAAAATCAACAAAACACTTGCAAAAGTAAAAAGGTATTATTTTCTCTATGCCTCTTCCTGTGCACTGTACAACTCCTGTATTGACAAATTCACTTTATACAAGAGACTTCAATAAACTTTGCTTTTCCCAAACAACTTCTGTGATTTGTGGGCATTCAATAAAGCTACTGTTACAACATTAAAATGCTTTCCCACTCCTTTATTGTAACATACAAACCAAGTTTTTCCTTCTAGTATTCTCCAGACACTTCCTCGGGGCACAGAGATGTTGCATTTGTTTTGTTGAGGTCCAGGGGTATTTTTGATTTTTTTGTGTTTTTGTAGCAGATCGAGCAGAAAGATGTTTCAGGAAAGGAGTGTAAGAACAGTATTAACACTTTCTCTCCTGCTCCAGTCTCATAATATTTACATATATCATATATGTTTTTTAAAAAAAAAAAGTAAAATAGTGGTTGAACTATAAAACACAAGGAAACCTGTGCAGCAAGTTTCCCATTTCAGAGTTTTGCCCTGTGTAAGATTGCACAAGGGAGGCTTCAGTATCTCCAGCAAAAGCTGCAAGTGGCAGATTAAAGACTTACCGCTCGGGTGCAGCTCGGAAGGGCAGCGCAGCCTCCGTGTGCACCGGGAACGGCGCCGGAACGCAGACGTCAGAAACCAAAGCAAACCAGGTAACGTGATATCTGCCCTGTCACGTTACCTACGTACGGAGGGGCTGTGGGAAAGGGAACGGGAGCCAGGATCGACCCACGGAGCTTGGAGCGCCGTGGTCACCGACCCTGAGCCATCCCGACTCCGCACAAGCCGCCCATCCATCCGTGCCGGCTTTGGGAACTTTGGGTCATCTCAGCTCTGCTGTATCACAGGCGATGCAAAAAACTAAGCAGATTCAGGTAGGATGGATATAAAAAAAAAGTATAAAAAGTGTCATGTTCTCTGTGAGTCTAAGATTTATAGGAAGAAAAACAACAGGGCATTTGAAAATTTGGTAATGTTATCAAACTGTCAGGCAGGGCAAACCTCACTGCTTGGGTGGAGAAGGAAAGGAGGAGGAGGAAGGAGAACTTTTAAGATGTCCAGAATTGCTAAAGTACCCACAGTTTCAGAGCTACTTGCCTTGCCTTTGCCTTGCAAAAATTAAGACATTCAGATTCAGGGATACAATACTGTATTTTACAAGGGGCTTAAAATTAATTACACATCCAGAAAATAATAATAATAATTAAAAAAGAAAGAGATACAACAACATAAAAAAGCCAACACCTCCGACGTAGTTTCCTCCCTCTCTGTTGTTCGTCTCGTGGAGTTGTACATCACTCGTTTTGTCTCTAAAGAGTCAAACTGAGCAGTCACAAAAATATCCACAGAGAAATTCTGGCAAAAGAAAACAAACAAACAAAGAAACTAACAAAATAACCCAGCAAGTCAAAAGCCATCCTCCCCTGGCAAGCCGAGTGCCACGGCTCAGACTTCCACTTGCCTGCTGCTCCTCGCCGCTGCTGCCCAGCGTTTCGGCCGGCTCGTCTCGGGTTTTAACGGCTTCCAGCTTGCGAGCTGAGGGAAACCATCCCATGCGAGCACAGCCCGAGAGACACATGCCTTAGTCTCCTACGCTGTCTGGAATCATTGAGTCCTGCTGGTAGCAGAGGGTCCTTCAAACAATCCTTTTCCTCTCTATCCTGCAGAGGATCCTTTTGAATGCCCGTCTGAAGTCATGGTTGAAAATGGTGTAGATGACAGGGTTCAAGGAGCTGTTGCAGTAACCGAACCAGAAGAAGAACTTGAAGAGGGTGGTGGGCACAGAGCAGCTCTTGCAGACGGCTGTCAGCGTGTAGGTGAAGAAGAAGGGGAACCAGCAGATGACAAAGACCCCGATGACCACCGCCAGCACAAAGGTAAAGCGCTTCTCCCGGTTCTGCCTGCCCCTCCACCGGGACCCTTTGGTGTTCCTCTCCTCCTCTGCCTTCCTGGGCAAACTGTCCCCAGGCTTAATCTGGCTCAACTTAGTCTTGGCCTTGCCCCTGGATGGTTTGTCTGACTTCTTACACTGGTTGTTCTCCTGGTGCTCAGAGGAGGAGGTCTCCTCCATGTCTATGCCGTTGGCCTCTCCCTCCTGCCCACCGCTGCCTCCCGCTGCCTTCTCTCCATTGAGTTGGGCTGTTGCTGGCAGGTCCTCCTTGTCGGCCAAGCCATTCTGCTTCTTCTCAGGGCACTCTGCGCGCCGGCTCGGCGGTACCCTCGTCCGCCTCTTGGCTATCTGGTAGATGCGCATGTACACCAGGATCATGATGAGGCAGGGGGCAAAGAAGGAGCCGATGCAGGAAGAGATGATGTACCACTTCTCCTCGTTGATCTTGCACGCTGCCACCCCCTGGTCGGCCTGCTGCCCGCTCTTCTTCTCAATAGAGATGAGTGGTGGGAAGGAGATGACAGCCGAGATGACCCAGACAATAAAAATAATGCACTTGATGCGGCGTGGGGTACGCTTGAGGTTGTACTCGATGGCTTGCGTGATGGACCAGTAGCGGTCCAGGCTGATGGCACACAAGTGCACAATGGAGGAGGTGCAGAAGAGGACATCCAAGGCCAGGTAGATCTCGCACCAGACCTTGCCAAAGTACCAGTATCCCATAACCTCATTTGACAGGGAGAAGGGAATAACCAGCGTGGCCACAAGGATGTCAGCCGAGGCTAACGACACCAGGAAAAGGTTCTGGGGGGCTTTGAGCGCCCGGCTGGTGAAGACGGCGATGATGACGAGGACATTGCCGAAGACGGTGAAGAGCATGAGCAAGCCCGCGAGGCTGATGAGCGCCACGGTGGTGTGCAGGGGGTACGGCGTGCCCGGCCCGGCGCCGCTCTCGTTGAAGGTCCCGTTGGCGCCGGGCGGCGGGAAGCCCTCGTCGTGCTCCAGCTGCCGCTGGTACTGCATGGAGGGCAGCAGGTGGCCCCGCTCCGTGAAC